CAGCAAAGCACGTGAAGGTTTTCACGTGCAGAAATTATTGATAAATATGTCCGAAGCAGTTGACATGTGTGATGCTTGAAACTCACCGAAGCCCTGGCCTTCGCGAGGCTCAGGTTCGGCCTGGCATTGGCTGTGACGGGCCCATTCTCCAACTTGCGGCATGCGTCTGGCAGCGTAATCTTGCTTTCCTACTGCCTTGGAAAAGACAGGGTTATAGGTTATACGGCACACGGAACACGTTCCACAGCGCAACCAACGCATGTTCCCATCTTCGTTGTGGCAGTTCGCAGGCTTGCTGAAAAGACACTCTCCTGCTTTGCAGCGAACAAACTATGTTGAAAACAAGACTGCGAGTCAGAGCACAAACAAAGCTGCATTGCCAGCCCTCAAAATTATGTGTTGCGACTGTCCGACAAGGCTGGGATCATTGGTTCAGTGGTCAGAGAATCGCCGAAGGCCCAGAAGCAAGCCTTCAATTTCAGAACATGTTATGTCTATGTCTGGCATCCCAGAATCAACAACAAGCACATGAGATGGCAAAAGCAACGTTGTACCAAATTTTGTTAAATACCAAGGCCAATCACTGCAACACCAGCACGCATTGGTGCGCACGTGCCGCCACAAAATATTGCCCAGTCTGCATTCAGACATTGCAAGTCATAAATCGAGCAACTTGCTACCTAATGACATTGAAATAGTCATAATCCAACAGTGACAGAAGAGAAGCGGGAGACATAAGACTCTTGGGCCACCAGTTGCCAAATAGATTGGCGGCTCTTGCAAAGGATTTCCTTGCCGCCAATTTGTGCGACAACACACACACACTCATACATAAAGAGCAACATAAAGCTCGGTTCAGCCCAAACATGGGAGGACTTCATTTGACACCGTGCTGTGCAGCCAGCAATGCCGACTGAGCTGCCTCCAGTTGCAACAAGAAGATCCCAACATCCCGGAAAATACTCCAGGCCTCTCTGCTAGCACGGTGACTTCCTGCCAAGAGTCTTCCGCTGCACATGTCGGAGCCCTTGTTTCATGCAAAACGCTTCATCAATGGGGGAGGGAAGATTGGGTGACAGGGAAGCCCCAGGTACTGCTTTTGAGGAAACATAAATGGCACTCGGGCCATCCACCTCTAACTGTGCTGATACGACCATTGCAAGCAAAGGGAAAAAAGGAACGCGCGACCCAGCTCCTGAGGAGAATGCAACTGACAAGAGGATCGCAGAATCACGAATTGTCACACACCTGCAGTCGTGTTGCTCAGCATGCTCCCCCAGGAGGCCTGCAGAACCGCTCCAGGTTGTGTTCATTTCATGGTTGCTTGGAAACCGAGCAAAAGAACATTGAAGAACAAAAGGACGCCGAGCTCTCAGGAAGGACCCAACAAGCTAGATGTCTGGGTTCTCAACCGGACAAGGGACTGCGGAGCACCAGAATGCTTTCCCCGGGCTGGCCTGGGCCACCTGGCCGGCCTCGCCCGCGCCAGCCTCAATGGCGGGTCGGGAACATCCCCTGCTTGGCACATGGGCTTGTATGAAACAAGCATGCCTTGCTTCAGGACTTTCAGAAGAATCCTGATACTTGGCTGCTCACTGCCATGAGGGGTGCAGGCCGCAAGTGGAAGAGCCGAAGATTTGCTGCCGCTCCTCATTACCCTGCAGCACAACACAGCATAGTGTTGCACCTCGCAATAGCGCGCCATTTTGGAGCGTGGCTTGTCCACAAAGTTGTTTGCCAACATATTCCTATCATTGAACTTAGGACAGGCGGGCCCAAAACGATAAACCTCGACAAGTCCGGCCCAAACCGATAGGCGTGAACGTGACCGGGCCCCTTCCTCCGCAGTCCGCAGGGGATTGTATGATTTCTCAAATGTGCCCCGAAACACGCTCATGTGCATTGACTTGCCATCAACTGTTCCCAACCATAAAAAAAAAGGCAGGGGGAAACATATGATAGCAATGCTATCGCTCCCTGGCTGATTGACAAGTGATTCAAAGCCAATGTCACAGCGGTCCAATCTTGATTGTGCATGCCAAGTGCTTGGCAACAGAAACAATTGACGAGCGCTGTGCACCTCTTTGAACATGCTATTGAATACGCTGTGCTTGAATGATGATTTGATTGTCGACCTTCAATCACTCTTTGCCTTGATGACACCGGACTCAAACGCGCTGAACAGCGTGGTTGGCTGATGTCAACTGCGTGACCCGTGCATTTTACGCCTGGCATGGCAATGCGACAGGCAAGAAGAAAGCCATGGAGAAGAAACGTCTTGACAATGCAGAACCGGGGTTGCCAAAATGCTGATCTGCTTTGGGAGCACGCTGTAACACGAGAATCCCCACAGGAGGCCAACAAGATCACCCAAAACAGCCACTGCGGCCTATCTCTGAGGCCCCCTGCGGTCAGGAAGGTGCTGTCACCTGGCTGAAGCTGAACTGGAGACCAGCGACCGTTACTCGATGCAGTTGCAACCCTGAAATGTTGAACATGTCATTGGTGATATCACTTCGCAAAATTGTTTTTTATTACCTCAGTTGTTGCCCTTGGCTTGAAACTGGCACGTTTAGATTCTGGACTTTATTTGGTGAACCTGGATCTGCAAAATGGTGTGAAGAGAAGCTCCATTTTGGGCTCTGATTGACTACGATGCACATAGCATACAACCACAACATATTGAGGACAGGAGTTACTGGCGTCGATCTCCAAGCTGCGAAAGCTAAAGTTCTTTCTCACACATGCATACAGTACTGCCAGCGGAAACCAAAAAGAAGAAAAACACGGATACCTTGCAAACCCAGGCTAAATGTTGTTGTAGGACATTTCACACCAGACATCATTCTAACAAAGAACCAATGAATTACATATCGGGCCAGGGTGGTGAATGACCTCGAGATTGCAACGCCTCACCCATTGGGCAACTGTCCTGTTGCTTGAACAGCAGAATGTTGCAAAACACAAAGAATGAAGGGAAGAAGAACAAGAAGGAGAGGCTAAGAAGGAGAGGATGAGAAGAAGGGGGGAGAAAATGAAGGAGAAGAAAGGAGGAGGAGAAGAAGGAAGAGAGGGAGAAGGGGAGGGAGAAGGAGGGAGGGAGGGAGAAGAAGGACGGAGGGAGAAGAAGGACGGAGGGAGAAGGGAGAAGGAGGGAGGGAGAAGGAGGGAGGGAGAAGGAGGGAGGCAGAAGGAGGGAGGAGAAGGAGGGAGGCGGAGGAGGGAAGGAGAAGGAGAAGAACGAGAGGAAGGAACAGCTAGTACGCAGTAATTCCATGTGACATCAGTCACATTGGTTCCACGGCCGTGTCTGGTGGTTGGCCTACAGCGTCACAGGAGAGGCATTGGCTGGTCTGCTTTCTTGCTAGAGAACTGCTGCAAACATACACACTCAGAACCCACATCAAATCCAAAAACAAACACAAGTGCCTGAGACAATGGTGGATCACCCAGGCAGCCCAAATGAACCCGCTATGCCATCTGACCACTTGGGCACCGCGCCGCTCATGTTGGCTGGGTGTTGAGGCAGCCTGGACAGGGCAACAAAGCAGTTTGGCAAGGTTCTAGCGGAGCATTGCGCGTTGGAGTTTATGTGTCTGTCTTGTGTGTGTCTGGTGTGCTGCGCGCTTGCCCACGCGAGCGCTCGTCCTCGCGCGCTGGCGCGCACGCGCGCGCAAGTGTGCGTGTGCGTGCGCTTGCGCGTGTGCTTGTTTGCTTGCCTTCTTGCTTGTTTGTTTGTTTGTTTGATTGTGGGTTTGGTTGTTTGTCCGCTTGCTTGCTTTCCTGTGTTTGTCTTTGTTTGTTTGATTGCTTGTCTTTGTTTGTCTTTGTTTGTCTTTGTTTGTCTTTGTTTGTCTTTGTATGTCTTTGTTTGTCTTAGTTTGTCTTTGTTGATCTTTACTTGTCGTTGTTTGTCTTTGCTCGCCTGTGTGTGCCTTTGGTTGTTTGATTATGCTTCCTTTTTGTTGCCTCTGTTTGTCTCGTTCTTTGTTCCTTCACTAGTTCCCTTTTGACTTGCTTCCCTTGTTCATGATGTGCTTCTTCATTCTTTGGCTTGCTTGGTTCTTTGAACTTTCTTCTGTCTTTCTGTTGAGTTGTGCTCTTTTCTTTTCTTTACTTCGTTCTGCCTTTCTTTCCTGCTTTATTTCCTCCTGCATTCCTTTCTTTCTTTGTTCCTGATCCTTTACTCTATCTACTTTCTTTCTGCCTTTCGTCTCGATTTTCTTTGTTTTGCTCTATTTCTTTCCTTCGCTCTTTCTTTCTTTCTTTCTTTCGTTCTTTCTTTCGTTCTTTCTTTCTTTCGTCTCCTGCTTCCTTCCTTTCTTTCTTCCTTCCGTGCTTCCTTCCTTCCTTCCCTTCCTTCCTCCCTCCCTCCCTCCCTTCTGAAGGATTCCGATCAATTCCGATCAGTTCCTATCTATTCCTATCTGCTCCTTTCGCTCTTTCGTTATCCATTTCTTCATTTATGTTTATTGTTTTCTTTCGTTCTTGCTGTCCTCATTTATGTCTTTCCTTTCTTGTCGTTTCCTTCCTCCCTCCCTCCCTCCCTTCCTTCCTTCCTGCCTTCCTGCCTTCCTTGCTTTCTTTCTTTCTTTCTTTCCTTCTTTCTTATGTTGCTATCTTTCTTTACGATTATTTTCCTTGCTTCTCAGTTTCTTTGCTGTTGAGTGTGTTTGTGTGTGTTTGTGCCTTCTTGCTTGCTTGCATGCCTGCTCGCAAGCTAGCTCGCTCGCTCGTGTGCATGCGTGCCTGCTTGCCTGCCTTCTTGCCTGCTTGCTTGATTGCCTGCTTGCTTGCTTGCTTTGCTTGTTTGTGTCTGTCAGTTTGCTTGTTTGTTGGTTGGTTGGTCTGTGTTTGTACGGGTGCTTGTGTTTGTGTGTGTGTGTGTTTGTGTGTTTGTGTTTTTGTGTCTGTGATCATTGTTTGTGTTTGTGTTTCTTGTTTGTGTTTGTGTTTCTTGTCTGTGTTTGTGGAATGGTATTGAGAACAAGGGCATCCAGCCTCAAAACGGCCCCACAAGTAAGCATTGGTGACTATGCCTGCGATACCACAGCTTGGTAACACCCGCACTATGGACAAAGATCCAACATGTTCCAACGCCATTCCATTCTTGACAACCCACCCCTCGTGTCGTGCCTGGCGATTGCCTCGTTCCATGTCACCCACACTTCCCCGCATGCCCACGAGAGATGTCCCTGCCTCAAGCACCAGGTGCTGTTGGCCGTCAAGCACGGCTCGTGCAGGGGCACGTGAACAGACCCTTTTGAATCAGTTGCTGTAGACTGAGTTGGGCGCTCAGGAGTTGATTGCCGCTGTTGCAGTGCTGGCAGCACCGATTGAGAATGGTTCAAGCAGCGACTAGTTTTACGCACACGGTTTCCAAAAACCCGGGCCTCTCATTCGCTGGGAAAAGCAAACACATACAGTGGTTGCGACTTGCTGAACAAAGCAACGGGGCGACTCTTGCGACGCGCTTGAGCAACCGATCTTATTGAGGGTGTCATCGTAGTTTCAGGGTTGCCACATCATCCCCTTGGCTCATATTTCGCAATCTACTGAATCTGGGGAAATCGCTGGGAGGAAACGCCTCCGAGCTGTTCCCTTCAAGCCATTCAGTCGGGCGGCTGAAGCTCAAGGAGGCATGTAGCAACGCATGTAGTTCTGCAGTGTGCATGATCCTCACTGTGGCTTGGTGAGTCTGCACTCTGCACATTTGCCAGCCAGGGACTGTTGGTTCTTCAGCCGAATTGGAATGCAGTAATCAATATCATTTTGTGAAAGGACAGAATGAGCCAACCCTTTGGGCGCACCATGCAGAGCCCACACTATCCGCAAGAATTGTAAACACTACAGCCGGGCTCATCTCACCCCTTCTGTTTTCGCAACAAACCAATCCCAGCAAAGAAATACTGATTATCCCTACTACTGATGTACTATAAATAATATCGATTTACTCACTCCGCTTGCCCTGCCTTACTTGCTCTGGCGTACTCGCACTGGGCAATAACCGATGTGGCAGTGCTAAGGCTGGTTGTGGAGGTGCCTACCTGTATACAATATGGCCCTACAGCAAAAGACATTAATACACGATGCTCACTGAATCTTGCATGGATTGGCAAGGAATTCCATCGGACTTGCATTCAAACAAGCATCCACCTCGAAGGAAGACATGCGCCATGATAGCCGTGCCAGGTTGCCCTGAGCTGCCTGTGCTAGTGCTCCCAGCATCTCCGCAGCTTTCGAACGACTTGCAGCTACCATCTTGGGCCAAACATGATCATTCCTGATGAGGTCCATCCCGCGCATGCAAAAACTGTATGCCATCCGCTCTAGAGAACATTGCCTGATTTGTTCCTGGGAAAGGCAGTGATGGTGATGGACCCTCTGAGCAGCGCTGCCAAACGAGCAGTGACCAAACCTATGCCGAAAGGGCATTGCAGTTGAAACCAATCTGTTTTGACACTGGCCACGGTGGCTATAAACGTCTCGGCCAAAAGTTCCGCAGCTTCTGGTCAGCTGGTCATTGCTCAATCGAAGGGGCACATCGCTGACGCTTATGTACAAACCTTGCGGAGCGCAGAAGTTGCACCGACTGCCATTCTTAGCTGTCAGGCATCCCGCCATCGCACTCCAAATGCACAACTCGTAATCTGTGAACTCTTTAAGCCTCAATCCGATCTGCCACCAGCTGGCCACCTTGCTTCAACAGTTGTCAGGGTAAGCCGCCGAGCTTGACGTGCAAATTTACACCGGCTGAGAAGTTCAACGAGACGAAACAAGCCTAGCTGGCAACACAAAAAGCACTTTTGCAAAAACACCCACTTGGCTTCTATCTACGCCTGAGCAAGCATACACTCCGCCATACACTTCAATGGAGGAAAGAAAAGCCAAGCAATGTCAAGGGCTTAAGCAAACCCGCATGAACCCCCTTTTGTTGTGGGCAAGGTAGACTGTTGTGGGTAAGGTAGACAATCAAAGGATACCAGCCATCTGGATAACTTTGACGCAGCCAAAGAGGCTCTTCAGCTGTCGTCGTCAAGCCGCTGCCATGGGCGACTCCAACCTGAACAGCTGCGCCCAGTGTGGGCCGATGTGAGCGACTCACACAGATGTGTTTATGCCAGGGCACTAGCTGTAGCAAGCGAACAAACAAAGAGTCATTACTATCATTACATCAACGGAGCAAGATTTACAGGGGCCGGGGCATCAAACAGCTGTTTCAAACACAAACGGATCGTTCAACAAATGACTTTTGTGTGCTCCTGTAAAATTTTATTTTCCTCCATCACGCCCATGCCAGAAGCGATCCCTCCCACGGAACCTACGTGAGACCATGCTGACTAATTAGCATGCCTTTGCGCCTACACGACAACGGGCTGACCACACTGTTTGCTCGGGTCTTTGACTCTGTGGCAGCCACTCTGGAGGAACGGGTGCAAGCTCCAGTTGGATCTGGGACGTCATATCTACGTTGACGCGAAACCTGCGTGGTATCCACCTCATTTGTGAGATCTTGGGACACTTGCGGGACATGCGCAGCTTCTCCGCTCTCTGCGGCTCCATGCTACCAACCAACTTGTGCCAACTAATTTGTGCCAAGCTGAATATAACTCGCAAGCCGTCAGACCATGCCACATTGCACAGCAATGCTTCCCATCATTCACCGTTTCATAGGAGTACATGATACTTGACTAGTAAAGCTCTGAAACGCTCGACTACGCTGCCTACGACGCAGCTGTGGCAGTCAAATGCCTACACCAACATGCGAGCCATCGTCCCTACAAACAACGCTGCCCAAGTCAGCGTCCAGGCCTGGCCAAACAAAGCGTGATCAACATCGGAGCAAACCATTAAACTTCGTCGCAGAAAGCAAGCACGTACCTAAAGAAAAGGCGATACTGCGATACTCAATCCCCTGTTGCTGGGCTCTGTCAACAAAGGCTGGGCGCTTAGACCAAATCAATGGTGCGGCAGCATCAACCAAAACTGCGTCCGCATCAAACATCCTCGCACCTAGCAGTTGAGAAGGGCTGGTGCATCTCCCGATTGACCCTACAGGTTGCCCGGGCCAACTTTAGCTATTGAATCAATGACGAGACGAGATTTGAGCCTGCGCCATCGCGCTGTTCGCATGAGTAAAGACACATGGCGACCGCATCAAATCAAATGCTGCCAAGTTACACGGCAGCTGCCAGCGGCGAATCGCCCATAGCTTGCTTGCATAGCTTCTCCGCGTACCTGGTTGATTGTGACCCTCATAAGAATTGTGGTGGAGTCACGGATCCTCCCCCCATGTACATTGTCCAAAGCCTCAGCCGTTGGAAGTGCTGAAACCTGCCAAATCAAGAGCGTCTTATGAAGGGACACTTGCCTGGTGGTCATTGAAACGAAAGAACTAACGTAATGACATCCAAGAGTAAAAGTAGAATCCAACTCACGCAAAAACACATCTTGTCTGCAGCTGATTACATTTGACAAAAGCCGACTCCGGCCCAAGTAGAATCACACACCTTTTGGTCGTTGCTACATGTGGATTGAGCCCTGAAATGATAAAGCATGTCTTGCCAGCCATATCCAAGTCTTGAGATTCAGATCTTACACGGGAGTCTCTCAAGTTTCCCGTGTGTTGTCCCGCAAAGCACCCGGGCGCCATCTGTGCAATTACGCCACATGGGTTTTCTAAAATTGGGGACCGCCCGCTTGGATGTTGCAAGAACAACCAAAAGGAAACCCCGCATCAAAGCTCCAAGTGACCCTCCGGCTAGGCGGCACCAAAGCAAGCCCCAAGCGCGCAAACAGAAGAATATTGACGTCGGACATAGGATACAGCCACTGATGCCATAAGGTAACCCTGCTTTCGCATCCAATGTGAATAGGTGCCAAATGACCATTGATGGAGCTTTACTCCCAATATTGGCTGAATCGTATATAGGCCCTGAATGCTCCTTGATCCCTTGTTTTGCCAACAGTCGAGCGTCCGTCAGTTCATGCTGATGCAAACGTCACCACAAATGGCAAGGGCTATAAACCCATTCAGCTCAAACATCTTCATGCCCCCCGTAATGGGGACCTTGTTTTCCGGGGGATGTCTGTTCGGAACATTGACACATTTCGCAAGTTTCGCCATGTTTCCGGACTTTGGCCCATTGCCCCCCAGAGGCGCTGAAGCTCCTGGATGGCCAGGTATCGGTGGACCCACAGCTCCCGGTCCCGGGAGATCTGGTGGATGGATGTCACGAGTCGGCTTAGCAGCTGGGGCATTGATCAAGAGTTCAAACAAATGCAACCAGGACCCCCTCCAATAAGTAGTTCAGAACCACAAAACGGTCCCGCGCAATGGACACTTGCACAGACTACCCGGCAACCTGCAAACACCTGTTGCATTCTAAAATGTATCCGAGCCAAGTTCACGTGGCCTCGTGAAGCTTGGTCTCAAGGCCGGTGACCAGGCCGCAAGCCTCGCTGAAATGAGGTGCTGCGGTTTTGGACGGTAGGGCTGCTTCTAGGCTGTCCACTGCTCGTTGTTCCACTGATCAAATATTGGCAACATTACAAGTTCTGGCAGAAACCCTGGAAGCTGTCGACCAAGGTCTGCCAGGTTTCGGCGTTGGCAACGGCAGCGCCTGCTGGCTGGCTGCATCCAGGCCCTGCACGATCTGCGACCTTATCATTGGTGGCAAGTCGGCAAATCGACAAGTCCAAGGACATCGTTACTTTATTGGTGAGACATACACACACGCTGCCCAAATCAAGGTGGCCAACGCAAGATCCGCTGGTTTGGGACATTGCATATCTTCCAGCACAAAAAGCAGTTGGCGTGCTTCTTCCCGAACTCATCTAGAGAAGGGCCCAAGTTACGTGTTTGTAGGAAAATGACGTTCCAGCCAGACGGCTCTGGGACAGCCAACTCAACCCATGGCTCCGCAAGATGCTACTAGTGGATAAGATTCTCAGCCGCGTTGCCCTCTGTTACATGGCAAGCTACTCCTTTCATTTGTAGCTCGAAGGATGAGACCAACCATTCGCTGGCGGTTTGGGTTGGCCCGAGGGCAAACATATAATTACATACAACAGGGGGTCGGGGGAACCGGGCAACCAACCAATTGAGTAATCAAAGAATGAGCAAACCAGCAAATGAGCAAAGAAACGGGCATGTTTTCTGCTTTCAACTGCTGCAAGCCTTGCCAATGGCGGCATCCCCGCTGGCAGAGGCTCACACAAGCCATCAACCGACACAAGACCCAACGAGCGTTCTGAGGCCATTGGCACATACACTGCGGTGGCTATGGCAGCCTGCGGCGTCGCGTGCAATTGCCGTGCTGCCCACAATGCAGGCCAAAAAAGGTTCTCAGAAACCGTACTCTAGAGGTTCACCCAAGTTTTGCGGCTAAGTGTCTCGCATACGTGATGAACAATGGATAAGGGTGTCTTGCGAAGTTGCACTCATGGGTATCGCTCAAATCAAATGGTCAACAACTGGTCAACAATATTCACTGGTCAGCAGAGGCACTTGAGACTCAAAAGTGTGTCAATTGATATCGCGGCTCAGAAGTGTCTTGTGGGGCCTAAGTGCCAGTCACAAGTGTTGTTCAAGGCTCAAATGTTGGATTATTTGTTTTAGAATCGTCCAGCCCATCAGCTCACGAGCTGTTCGCCCAAAGGTAGGTATTGTCAGTAGACCTCTCAGCAAGTACACAAGGTATATGCAGTAAAAACGAATATGCACGAAGCAGTCTGCCGAATTGCCGCTCCTCACGATACACATTGCTTGGAACCTTCGAGAGACTTGTTGCGAGACGATATGCTTGTGCAAGAGAAGAGTTTGCAAGCCTTTGACCGACGACTTGGGAACAAAACACTTGTTTAGCTACACTGAGTAAGACAACTCTGGGTGACGTGTCCGCAGGACTGTTCTGGAAGTTTCTTGCAATGAAACAAACCCCAATCATATTGCTGGAGCCCGTGTTTCTTCATCTTCTGGAAACTGTTCTCACTCAAAGACACAACATCCACCATGCAATTGGAGTCACATCAAAGAAACAAAGTAGCAGGCCAGCGGGCGTATGCTTGCATCGTCTAACCATGTCTAGCCCCATCGCCTCGCCACGCAAGATGCGCTTCTAAACTCACCAACAAACCGCTACGTGACAGTCTCACGCAATGCTGCAAACATCCCAAACACGGACGCCCAAAGAAGCTCGCAAACCCACGAGCCTCAATTTGCAAATCTGCCATCTGAGGCTCCGCCTTTGCGGCTTTCACAAGTCAAAGCCTAGGACTAGATCTGCGCCATTGCCACTAGAGAAATGGCAATAGCAAGAGTACAACAAAAACAAAATCACATCATATCACATCCTTGTGCTTCAAACGATTTAGCCGAACCCGACTGCGAATCACGGGGTATGTAATATGCTTGCCAACTCAAACCTCCGAGGCGTTTATATGGACATTAATTATTTAGGGATCATATCCTTGCAAGAAACACAAATCCAGCCAAGCATAATTAAAAACAATTGTACGTCGGAAAGGACTGTTTCTGGCAGTAGCAGCCCAAGACTGAAAAGGCATTTTAGTCCTTTGTCCAGGCTTCTCATTGTCTTGTTCGGTCTCCTTTTTGCGAGACCCATTCGGGCCACCCTGCTACATAATTTTATCCAGGAGCTCAACCTAAAGGGTCTTTCTGGCAAATATGGGCGCCTCCTGCAGCAAGAATATATAACAAGAGTAACTTGTGCAAATGCGGAATAGTGAGCTCTCCTTGGAAGGCGAGACTGCCCGCCTTCCCTCAATGAACAAAATCTGAGCACTGGCTTTATGTGAATATGCTTTCCAACCGCTGTGCAACCTTTATTTAGTCGCTGCCCACTATACTGCTGCCACAAGTCAAAATGTCGGCTCCTCCACACCCGACCCACAACGACGGATAGAGGTTTGCACATGACTGTCCTGCCAACAATCCAAGGCCAATGGATCTGTCTTTCTGGCTCTTTGCGCTCCGTGGTGTCACTGAAATCAACAGCTGTCTCCTGTGGTTGGTTGGTTGATCGAACGGTCGGTGGGCGGGTGGGTTGGTTGGTCGGTCGGTCGGACGGTTGGTCAGTTGGTCGGTTGGTCGGTCGGTCGGTCGGTTGGTCGAGTGGTCGGTTGGTCGGTTGGTCGGTCGGTTGGTTGGTTGGTGGGGTTGTTTGCTTGTTTGTTTGTTTGCTTCTTTCTTTATTTGTTTCTTTCTTTTCTTTTCCTTTCTTTCTTTCTTTCATTCATTCTTTCTTTCTTTCTTTGCTTCTTTGCTTCTTTGCTTCGTCGTTTCTTTGTTTCTTTGTTTCTTTGATTATTTGTTTCTTTGTTTCTTTGTTTCCTTGTTTCTTTGTTTCTTTGTTTCTGTATTTCTTTATTTCTTTGTTTCTTTGTTTATTTGCTTCTTTGCTTCTTTGTTTCTTTGTTTCTGTCTGTCTTTCTTTCGTTCTTTCTTTCTTTCTTTCTTTTCTTTCTTTCTTTCTTTC